TCTTTGGTGATATCTCTGATGTCTGTTGTGGTATATACGTATTTCTTGTGATATCTACGTGTGTTGCCAATTGGTCTAAACTGAGCAAACCTCAAGTTGGTGGTCTGGAGTTCTAGCCCGGGTGGATGAGACTCGTTAACCTTGGTCGGCAACTCATCTAAGAGAAGGAAACTCTGAGTTCAAACCCGGAGTTGGAGTCCCGTAAGGCGCATACAATGAGAATTCCTGCATCCGCACCCATCCCTGGTCGTCTTGACGTAGAGTCTTGCCACTGGATATGGTGGGCCCGGACGAAAGAGTGAGGTTGACGCCGAGCAACTCTTCCTCACTTCAAACAAAGTCACCCGCGCAAGTCATCAGTCACCGGACGACTCAATGGACCTAGTCGAAATTCCATCTAAGTGTGTCTATTGTGATATCTACATAAGTCTGTTGTAAGGGACTGTGAGAATGAAACTAAGACTACAGCAGGCAAGTTTACTAAAAAAATTGTGCCACTAATACATGTAACTTGCCTCAGGATGTGGCAGTAAAAAAAAGAGGATTGAGAGTATAGTAATGTTAATTACGAATTATAAATAAATTAGTTAAAAAAGGAAGGCTATTTTAACAGATATGTTAAACAACCGATGAATATGTGAAAGCCTTTGCTTAACACATATGAATATTTAAATTGTCCATTTCAATCAACAATCCATTGCGTTAAAATTTTTGTCAAATTTCTTTTTGAACGCACTATACTATACAGTAAAACAAATTAATGCGTTCAAAAAGAAATTTGAAGCAAAATTTTAACGTAAAAACTGAAAAAAATATTCGACCAAATTTCCGTTCGATCAAATTACTGTCGATCAATTTACCGTCGACGAAATTTCTTTCGATCAAATTTCCGGATACGCGTTACACATAACACTCTCTAGATAGCGTGTTCATATGACCTAATTGCTTTTGTGCTTTCAAAAAAGGAATTGTAATAATAATCTTGTTACTTTTTTGAAAAGAATTGTATTAATAAATGCATGCCTTACAGCAAGAGTCCATTCGAGCAAGTGAAAAGGCAATTATTTTCTAGGGTAGCCTATAATAGTGCATTTTTTAACTCTGACTATGAAACATGTCCGGCGTCTTACAAGACGTCATTGCATATGTTATACTTTCAAGATTGTACAAAAACTCTTGTAGCGAGCTGTTCAGGAAGTTGAACAATATGAATAGTACCACCCCCACATCCACACACACATGAACTTCCTCTCAACCTTGACCCCTCGCTCCCCACTCTTCCTATTGCCACCTTCATCTCCCTCGACGTTTTCCCAGGGTCCATACTTGACCAGCTGTGACTTCAAAAATCTCTTTCATCTGAATCTAACTTCAACTTCTCTCTGCGATCGTCATTCTTTTCCCTCTCTAACTCCTCAACCCACCCACACCTCCCACTTCAACCCACCCACAAATTAGCCCACTTTTATGGCAACACCGTGACATATTCCCTGGAGGCTCTGTTATTTTTATTCTGACAGCTGTGTTCTCCGGTGACTGACCAAAGTCACTGTCGGTATGGGCGCCCGCAGGGTTGGGCACTTGCCCCCCCCCCCCCTGGATTGATTGGATAAATTTTTTTTAGACAAAAATAGACAACAAAATTATTAAAACAAAGAGAAAATAAAGAGAAAGTAACTGAGCTGATGTCCTGTCCGTTCGTTCACCATACAAATACGCTACTGTAAATTAAAACTATATTAAAACATTACTAAAAATTTTTTGCCCCGCCCCCCTGGAAAGTTAATCGATTTTTTTTGCCCCCCCCCCCCTAGAAATTTTTCTGCGGGCGCCCATGACTGTCGGTCCGACATTTCTTTCACTTTACAATCACGACTCCCTTGTAGAACAAAATATGTTTTGAACATGATTGAATTCAAAAGTAGAGCCATGACACGCCAGCCGTAGTGAAACAAATAAACGTGTCTTGCCACATTTGAAGAGTTCCGTTTCAGAGTAATGAACGCATATCTCCTCTCTTTGTATGTTTTTCAGCCCCCCTCACACACACACACACAGAAAGACTCCCCCAAGCCTTCCAATATCTGACCTAGTCTCCAACCAAAGTTCTTGTCAGGAGGAGAGTAGCAATATGGCTTGTTTATTCCGACAAAACATGTATGTTTGTATCCAACTCGGACGGTCTTCAGTTCTTAGTACAAAAGTTGCAAATAAAAAAATGGTGCCGAGTTTGTAACCATTTCAAAAAATTATATTAATGGAATTTTTCTTGAATATTTTTCAATATTTTTGTACTTTGCTTCATTAATCTGAATTCCAAATAGTTGAATTTATCTCTTATGATTTAAGTAGTTCAAATGTTTCGTAAAACGATTATTTACTCGCTTATACGCTATCCGTAAATCCTATAAATGTCACATGTCACTACATTAATTAAAATAAATTAAATTATTATTTTTTAAATGTTTAATTTTAGTTATGCTATCCCATTGCGAATTCTGCAGTACATATTGATGGGCTTTTGTCTTCTTGAGCCTCATAAATCTGAACGTAATAGTCCACCTCTAATATCAGTACTTTTTAATCTTTTCACAAAATATTGGTCTTAATTTATCATCAAAGGGTATGCAGACATTTATCTGAATGTTTAACACAGTTTGGATGGAATAAGTGTCACATTCTAGCTCCAGATAAAGACGATACTCCAGAGCTCCACTCTACCTCCGGGTGAAAAGACACTACTCCAGAGCTCCACTCTAACTCCGGTTGAAAAGACACTACTCCAGAGCTCCACTCTAACTCCGGGTAAAAAGACACTACTTCAGAGCTCCACTCTAACTCCGGGTAAAAAGACACTACTCCAGAGCTCCACTCTAACTCCGGGTAAAAAGACACTACTCCAGAGCTCTACTCTAATTCCGGGTAAAAAGTCACTACTCCAGAGCTCCATTCTAACTCCGGGTAAAAAGACACTACTCCAGAGCTCTACTCTAACTCCGGGTAAAAAGTCACTACTCCAGAGCTCCACTCTAACTCCGGGTAAAAAGACACTACTCCAGAGCTCTACTCTAACATTGGGTAAAAAGACACTACTCCAGAGCTCTACTCTAACTCCGGGTAAAAAGTCACTACTCCAGAGCTCCACTCTAACATTGGGTAAAAAGACACTACTCCAGAGCTCTACTCTAACATTGGGTAAAAAGACACTACTCCAGAGCTCTACTCTAACATTGGGTAAAAAGACACTACTCCAGAGCTCTACTCTAACATTGGGTAAAAAGACACTACTCCAGAGCTCTACTCTAACATTGGGTAAAAAGACACTGCTCATTGCACTGCTAACGCAAGGAAAAGACGAAACAATTTTTAAATTTTTTAAAATCATTTAAATAAAGAAGTTTTATTTATAAATAGTATTCAAAATACAAGAAAACCCATTGGACAACTTTATTTTTAAATAATTGTGTCCCTTGCTCGTATAAGTGAAATTATGGATCTGTTATGCACGTCACGTGTTTGTAACACATAGAAATTAGTATACATAATTAAATCAAACAATAAATAAAAAAACACCATATACATTATAAATCCTCTAACTATACTTAGCGTCTCAACAATTATTTAAATATCACATAATTATATATTTGAAAGTCTCTAATTATAAAGATTCATCACGTCAGTCTATAATTGAAAGCCTTTAGTTATAAAAATTGATGACGTCAGTCTAATTCCTTTAACGGTTCCATAAATTCACGTCTGCTTTCGTATTCGTCCTCCCAGCTGCCTTGACTGAGAAATGTGGTCACTGTTGACCCGCTGCTGATGTGAGGTGAGCTGAAGGTTCGAATCTTGCTGGCAGCCTTTGGGTGGACACAGACTGGAACTAGAGATGAATAAATTATATGCATTTTAGAATCATATTTTTTTTACATAAAATAACATTTTACTGAAGCTCTCATATTATGCAATGCAGACGTATTGATCAATTATTCATGTCAAAGAGTGTAACGCTTTGCATTTAATCTCTGTGGCCCTAAGTTTCAATACGATGAAGCATATTTGCAACCTCATAGTTGTGATACAATTAGTGTATATTAATTATTTTCTCATTTCGTTTGGTATGTGATAGTTAATCAATGGGATTTCGTCTTATATGGAATGTGATATGTAAACAGTAAATAATAATAATCAGCCCATAACTTATATTCATTTTGGTGTAAATACGATGGCCTGATTTATAAGAACTGTACAACAACCAATTCGCCTGTATTCTCTCAGGATGACTTTGTTGTGTATACGCTCAGTGTGCAGTTCTTTACATCGTATGTGGTGTATGTTAAACATATAAAAACGTTGTTGACTTACGTGTTTTAATGTTGCCATCCGGATCCTGAAACAAAGTTGTTTAAGAAATATTTAATAATGTTATGATACAAGAGATAAATAAGCCAGCGTGTTATCTTGACAGTTGCTCAAACGTTATTTTATAGTAGCTAGATAAGTTTTCGTCGCTTAAAATTTCTTGAATATTTCTTACAGACTTTAAACAACTATTTATCAAAGTTGTTCTACGCATGCGCTCTGTGGCTTTTTACATAAGGAGTGCTACTGAGTGAATGGCTCATCCAAGACACTACTATATCATATTCTTAAATAAAACATTTAATCTCTCAAATGGTGGCATTAAATAATTACAAGACTCTCTTATAAGCGTGAAAACAGTGTCAGACGTACACAAACAATTAATGTGACACATTCCTTGATATATTAATCTATGTTTTTTATATATTTTTTGTTTATACAATTGAGTTTGCCTTTGGCCATTTCCCGTGCCTACAGGTGAGTAGTTTATACCTGTTTAAAACTAGAAGGAAAGTAATTTACACTATAACTAATGTACTTACTTTAGAACGAATGTACTCACACTAGAAAGTATTTACTTAGATTAGAACGAATGTAATTACAATAGAACAAATGTACTTACACTAGAACGAGTGCACTTACACTAGAACAAATGTACTTACTATATTAGATGTGACACCTGGAATGTGATGTGAGTGATGGCCACTGTGGAAATGTATTGTTGTTATAGTCTACAAATAGCCCGGCTTTATACAATATTATGTCTCTGCATTTAAATTACATTAGGAAACTGCTAATATATGTGATTGTAATTAAAAATACATAATGTTTGTAACATTTTGTCGTGAACATTAACCATTGGACATGATGATGTTGAATGACGGAATTGTATGATGGTATTTAATGATGGTGTTTAATGATGGTGTTTAATTATGGTGTATTCAATGAGATTCCAGCCAGTATTTACATGCAGTCAACACCGTTACAAGAATGGGGAGCTTGGGTTTTCCTCTGACGATTTCTTCTGGGTGGCAGCATATGGTGTATGGGCACGAGAGTATGGCACTTGTAACATTCACTCTTTGTGAAACTCATCTCACCAAAACCCCTGGGGATAAACAATACGACACTTGTTACATTCACTCTTTGTGAAACTCATCTTACCAAATGAACACTGGAGATAAACAATTCTCAGTAATGCTAGCTAGCATTGCAAGAAATAAAAAAAATGAGCTGATATCTCTATTTGCCTGTTCATGGATATTTTGAAATCAGTAAGTGATTACCTAGTCAAATAATGATAGATCAGAAAAATAAAAGGATCAATATATTAGTGACATTTAGTAAAGTTTCTCTAAGCAGATCTTTCACAAATAGTTTTCGAATTTCAATAATCATTTCTATGCTAGAAACATCGTTATCATAAGTGTTATTTAAAAAAGAGAATTTAAATTAATTTTTTTTTTTTTTTTAAATAAATTGTTTTCAAAATCACTTAGAATTTTAGAACACACTGCAGGCCTAATAAGAGACAAATATAGAAAACGTTAATTATCAGGAATACAAGGAAAGGTCGTTAACAGCTGCAAATAGACGAGGTTACAGCACCTGTCATCAAAGGTTTAACTTGTACGCAACGAAATGCATGAAGAAAGTGCAACTCGGGGAAAAAAATGGAGTTAGGTGTTATTTGCTACTTACGTGAATTCATTTCCACATTCGCAAAGAAATTTACCGATTCCCCATTCTTTATCTCTAGGGATAGGGTCGTACTTTTTACTGCACTGCTTGCATTTGGACACCTAGGATAAAACAAGGTGAAAATGGACTCAACGGAGAAAGGTGGGCGTGGTTACAATAAATGTGGTGCAGACGATATCTAAAATAGATTATAAAACATAAGTGTGTTTAAGTATGAAGCTAATGTGACATTGTTGCACGCGTTCTTCATCAAGCTGAACATCTTTAGAAATGAAACAAAAATCTTTATTTTAAAAAAATGTCCCTATTCCAGTGGCTAATTGTGGTATATTTGTTTTGTTTCCGCCCCTGGAAGATCAGATAATGAATTATTGCCTTACCCCGCTGGGACAGTCATTTCAATCACTGCTTACCTCTTTCTTTTTGAGAACCCTCTTCCACCATGATCTTTTGCAACTTGCGCACGCGAATAGCCTCAGTGTGGTTTCATTTCCGGTGTCTAGCTCTTGTGCTAAATTTAGTGAATCAATAGCTGAGCATACTGCATGGTCAGGATCCTAAAGGGATTTAGTCAAAACAAAATGGTTGATTACGTTGAAATAGCGAGTGTTTATAAAAGGTAGATGATTAGCGTGAACCAATGGATCCTTTTCAGTTTTGACTATTTGTGACGGGAAAAAATTGACTGTTGAAATATTTTGTCGATGAATTGTACTTGATGAAGTGTATTTGTCAATGAATTGTATTTTTGTCAATGAAGTGTTTTTGTCAATGAATTGTTTTTTGTGAATGAAGCGTTTTAGTCAATGAAGTGTATTTGTGTATTTATCAAAGAAGTCAATGGCCTGGTCACAGTTAGAGGAAAAATGATAACTATCCAGGCTCTCCATGATGTACAAGATAAATAATGGGCTGGTCCACTGCTCCAGCATTAAACAGAAACTCGTCGGTCTCCCCCATAGACAGCTTTAAGTGTAAATTGATGCAAAACTAAATTTTAACCAAAAATACGCTAAAATAGAATCCATGTATTTTGAATTTATTAAAAAGTTTTGCCAGAGGGGGCTCAATGAACCCCCTCTTCCCCAGATCCCTGCCCGAACTTTGGTTTGGCTCGGGATTACTTGCGCCTTCTTTCTCTCTCTCTCTCTCTCCCCCCCCCTCTTTTTTTTCACCCCCAGACAGCCGACCAAAGGGACTTTTCTTTAAGCGGTACAATAGCTTGGTGTCCTTAAGTTATGTTGTACAATAGCTAGGTGCAGGAAGCATCCGACCAAAGGGACTTTTCTTTAAGCGGTGAAATAGAATATAACACAGATCCATGGCCTGAAGAAAATGTGGTGCTATTTGCAGGTTCCCGGGCAAGTGAGTGCATATGGCACGGTCAGCTCTATTTCGAGGCTCGTTGTTTACAAGTTTAACTTGCCAAAATCATTATATTATTTCGAGTGGTGGGGGGAGGGGGGAAAATCGAACTCCACCAGGGCGCCACAATGTCTTACTTCGCCCCCTGAATGAAACCCTATCATGTTAATCAATTTTGAATGGTTCAAATCTCAGAGTCGCGTACCGAGGTGTTGTAGAGAACAGGGGAGAAGAGACAGAATATGTAAATGACAGTCTCTGATCAATGCTTAATTGCCGTGTTCCACTCCAGCCGCAGCAGCAACAGCTAAAGCAACCATGCACTGGACGCCAACCAAGTGAGAAAGCACTAAGAGAAGCCTTGCAATACTGTGTGTGTGGGGGTGGGGTAACCTATTGAAACTTAGATATCAGCCAAGATAATGGAGTAGTCGCACGAGAGAGGAGGCTGTGACACCACTATTTGCTTCAAGCAGGACTCACTACAATATGAAAAATCAAACGGAGTTATGGACTGGAGATCTTTTTAAAAACATATTTTCAAGCTGTAGAGAACGAGTTATCATCAGCTCTATAACAAACTTTGGAGAAGGTGGTGTCAACAGCATTATAGCAAGCTTTATAGAACGAGCTATTTTGAGCTTCATAACAAGCTTTATAGAAAGAGCTACCATCAGATTTATAACAAGCTTTATATAACGATTAATCATCAGCTTCATAACAAGCTTTATAGAACGAGCTACCATCAGCTTTATAACAAGCTTTATATAACGATTAATCATCAGCTTTATAACACGATTATAGAACGAGCTACCATCAGCTTTATAACAAGATTTATAGAAGGAGTTATCATCAGCTTTATAACAAGCGTTATATAACGAGCTACCATCAACTTTATAACAAGATTTATAGAAGGAGTTATCATCAGCTTTATAACAAGCGTTATGTAACGAGCTACCATCAACTTTATATCAAGATTTATAGAAGGAGTTATCATCAGCTTTATAACAAGCGTTATGTAACGAGCTACCATCAACTTTATAACAAGATTTATAGAAGGAGTTATCATCAGCTTTATAACAAGCGTTATGTAACGAGCTATCATCAACTTTATAACAAGATGTATAGAAGGAGTTATCATCAGCTTTATAACAAGCGTTATGTAACGAGCTACCATCAACTTTATTACAAGATTTATAGAACGAGTTATCATCAGGTTTATAACAAGCGTTATGTAACGAGCTACCATCAACTTTATAACAAGATTTATAGAACGAGTTATCATCAGCTTTATAAAAAGCGTTATGTAACGAGCTACCATCAGCTTTATAACAAGTCGTTTGTTGTGAAATGTGCAACGGACGCACAAGCCACCTATGTAAGACACAGTCAAAGACATGTTCACCTCAAGTCTTGCTAATTTACCTGTTGGAGGTACGCGTGTGTCTCTTCATCATCTGAAACAGAACAAGAGAATGTTTCCTTTATAATTGGTATAGAAATTAAATTACTCACTTTAATAACTTATATTTACTAATGCATACGTGTTGGCGTGCTTGTAAGTATATTTTGTAAAGCAGGGGTCTCAAACTCAAATCACACTGGGGCCGAAGGAGGTAGAGTTTGAGTGAGACTGGGCCGCATCAAGTATTCCACAAAAAAGAAATTACAAATTCATTTAAGTTTAAGTACAAATGTTACAATCTGCTGAATCTTTTATAATAAGAAATTAAAACATTAAGGCTTCACTATCTTCCTGCTCCTCATTGTTGCCAGAGATCCGGCAGCGCTTCCTCTTACACGGCTGAGCAACATTTGGCTTGAGTGAGGAAGCAACTGAGACCCTCAGTATAGCTTGAATGTACTCATCAGTAAGTTGGGCCCTGAACTTTGACATTTTAAAGTTCATAGTGGAAAAGAGCTTTTCTCCCCCAAAAGACCTATGATCCGCTTGAACAATTTGGAAATCTCAGGGTGAAATGCTCTCGTAAATTGTCCATGCTTGTCTGTCTTTCCTTGAACTTAGAATTGTGTGGGGGGTGGGGGCATCTTCCACATTGAAGTAGAAGGGGCCAGCAAAAAGTTAAAAAGAGGCTCTGTGTGTTTTGAAGTTTGCAAACATGTGATGAAATTCTTCCTGTAGCTTTGCATTGGCATCAGTATACTTATGAGTCCATGAGTACTCTGCATGTTGGGAAATGGCACAGGTTTCTCAAAGAACCATAACACAAGTTTTGTGCAGAACATCCTGACATTGTCATAGGCAACACTGACAAGCTATCCTTGATCTTGTAACTTCTTGTTGAGCACATTCATCTCCTGTGTAATGTTAACAAGAAAATGCAAGAAAACCCATTTGGAATCACTTAGAACAGGAACAACCACCCCATCCTTCTCCATGAAGGCTTTGAAGGCTAAAACGTGTTCCAACAGTAAGCAGTTGCAGGTAATATGTATAAATTATTGATGCGAAGAAAGATGTTATTGTAGGGAGAATGAATTTTTATTTTTTTATCGTAGAAAAGGCCTTTTTGATTATCACTATTTTGAATGTGATCAAACTGACAGGCTCGGAATTTACCAAATTCTTAAACACTAGCGCAAATTTTAATACGGATTCTTTGATTCCTGTTCTAAGTCAGATTGCAACCATTTACACAATTATGGCTATGAATTACCCATTAACTGACCTCATAAAATGCTATAAAATAAAAAAGTTTTAGTCCGATTTCAAATCGGTTTTTACCATTATAATCAATGTCCAAATCTATATACACATAATACAAATCAGAATGAGACCAGTCGGTGAGATTTGACTGAAACCATCGCGGAGGGTCACATTATAGGTATGAGAATGGGGAAAACACGTGGGCCCCATTAAAACTTAACTTTGCTTTCATGTAGCGGGCCGCAAAATATCGTCTTGCGGGCCGCAAATGCCTGCGGGCCGCGAGTTTGATACCCCTGTTGTAAAGTATAATTGTTAGAGTCTGTGCCGTTTGTGTGATGATCTGTTAGAGTTTACGTGAGTTTGTGTGATGATCTGTTAGAGTTTACGTGAGTTTGTTTGTGTGTTAATACGAGTTTTTGCTCCTTGTTTTGAAGTGTACGGAAATGTGGAAAGACTTTTGCTTAATGTTCAAAAATGTCGATCCCTCAATAATGTCCATCTCTCAATAATGTCCATCTCTCAATAATGTCCATCTCTCAATAATGTCCAACGCTCAATAATGTCCATCTCTAAATAATGTCCATCTCTCAATAATGTCCATCTCTCAATAATGTCCATCTCTCAATAATGTCCATCTCTCAATAATGTCCATCTCTCAATAATGTCCATCTCTCAATAATGTCCATCTCTCAATAATGTCCATCTCTCAATAATGTCCATCTCTCAATAATGTCCATCTCTCAATAATGTCCATCTCTCAATAATGTCCATCTCTAAATAATGTCCATCTCTCAATAATGTCCATCTCTCAATAATGTCCATCTCTCAATAATGTCCATCTCTCAATAATGTCCATCTCTCAATAATGTCCATCTCTAAATAATGTCCATCTCTCAATAATGTCCATCGTTCAATAATGTCCATCTCTCAATAATGTCCATCTCTCAATAATGTCCATCTCTCAATAATGTCCATCTCTAAATAATGTCCATCTCCAAATAATGTCCATCTCTAAATAATGTCCAACTCGATACTAATGAGTCTCTTACCCAAAAGTTGAATCTGAAAATTACACCACAAATCAATCTTAACGAATAGATTTATCCCTTTCCTTAGACCATCTACTTACCCTTGAGATGTGTACCTTTACGTAGATCACCAACTATTCTTGAGATGTTTACCCTACTTAGATCTTCAACTTACCCTTGAGATGTTTACCTTTACTTAGATCACCACTTATTCTCGAGATGTTTACCTTTACTTAGACCACCTATTTACCCTTGACATGTGTACCTTCACTTAGATCACCTACTTACCCTTGACATGTGTACCTTCACTTAGACCACCAACTGACCATTGGGATGTTTATCTTTTCTTAGAAAACCAACTTACCCTTCAGCATTAAACTAAGGGCTCCCTCCATTCCACCAAAGTCATTGATAAGCCTGACCGCTGTTGCCTCTACGATGCGTTCCCGCAGCACCTTGCACAGCCGCCGAGCCTACAGGTATAAGATAAAGAGAGTAGTGCAGTATCTATTGACTTGGTCAGTAGCTCTCTCCAAATATGAAAGAAAAGTTGGCAGCTGGGCGGTGAATGATGAAGGGAGATATCTAGTACATTGGCAGTCAAATTTTGTGGGTCAGTTGGAAGAACTACCTAAAACCTAATTTGCTTGTATTACTTAAAATAAGCCAACAGACGGACATTTTAACCCAAACAGTTTGCATCCCAGGGTCGAATAAAATATAAAATGTACATACCCAGCCCGATAAATCAGCTCTGAACCGAGGATTTGTTTAATCCAGATTGAAATTTTGCACACGGCTGCGCAGCAAATTCGATAATAATAGGATATCCGCTAAAAGTAACAGCACTGAAACACTGCCGCATTTTGAACTCGTACGTGCGCTCCAACGGTGCATAACTTAAGTCACGTGTTCCCTCGGAGGTCAAGGACGTTGGGGTTTGCAGTTATTGCAGGTAATGTGTCTCTCTACGGAGGAAAAACCTCGCATATAATTTGAGAACCGCCGTATTTTCGCTGAAACGGAACTGTTCATGAAGGGGGTCGGAGTTTTTTGGTGGCAGAATGATTCCGATAGAGATTTGACAAGAAGGCACCAAGTAACATGGAGTTGCTATTCTTAAGAAATTGATTCATTCTGAAAGCGTACTGCCTCAGCGGTAGGGTAAGATGGGTCGGCAAGAAATTGTTTCTAAAACTGAGAATTACGACAAAGGAGAGTCCCGCATGTGTTGTACAGCACATTCTACATTCGCCCCTACGACGACGTCTTCATCTTTGAAACTGAACGTCAGCGATATATCCGTCCAATGTTTGTCATTGAGCAGTGTCGTACCGACTACGAGTAGGCCAACGTAGGTCAGAGCCAGATATGCAAGCCAGGACGTCAAGCATTTTTTGGCCACTGTGTACTATCCATATTTATTTAGGAATGTGTGGTTCTCGGGCTAAAGTCACATTCACTTGGACGACCACATCAGTCGCCAGACAAATTTCTTTTTGAGCGCATTATTATTTTTTTTTACTCTATAGTAAAGTGCGTTCAAAAAGAAATTTGACGCAAAATTAGATCATGTGAACTGAAAACAAAATTCGACCACTTATCTGTTCGTTCAAATTTCCATCGATCAATTTTCCGTCGGCGAAATTTGTTTTCAAACAAATTTCCGGTAACCCGGAACTGTGCCTGAATGGAGCGAGAGATTAGTCTACTTTAGCAGGAGGCCGCAGCAACCATTGTCCGGTGATATGTTTGAAAATCCACGTGAGCGATGTGAACACTGTTTTCAACAAGACGGTGCTCTCTGTGAACACTTACGTTACACATACCGTGGTGAATCAACGTGCTAATAGTATGTGTGTGTGTGTGTGTGTGTGTTATTTATTCCGAATAAATGACATTCGACCTAGATTCTAAATCAAGTCACAGATGACAACGAGTAAATCTTCCAAATTACATTTTCCAAAACTGTAACGTCTGGCGTATGCTGTGTTTGCGACATTTTGTTATAAACTTTTTTAACGCCTGAAAATGTAAATGTTTAGGTTTAGATTGGTCCTGCTGCAACTATATGTGGACCATTTTGAGAATCGGATTGAATTATATATTATACTTTCTTCAGCGCCAAGAACTACACCACTAAATAGATACGTTGCGTACATGTTACCCAAGTTATGTACGTGTTTCGAATGACCCGTTTTTGAGTTAGGTTTAAGACTTGAAAGTCGAAAACAGTGACTTACTACCCATGGTTCCTGACCATGCTTAAAAAGGGCTGACTCCTTAAATTCGACTGTATCATCTTTCTGTCTCGTGTTTCTGTCTCGGATTTCTGTCTCTTGTTTCTGTCTCGTGTTTCTGTCTCGTGTTTCTGTCTCGTGTCTCTGTCACGTATTTCTGTCAGGTGCTTCTATCTCGTGTTCCTTATCAGACAGATACTGGACCTGCTCCTGGTGTCTAATCTATGCACCCAATACATTATGTCGTGATTGTAGCTGTGTCAGTCGGGGTACTTTTGTGTGTCAATCATGACACCTTTGTGTGTCAATCGTGGCAATATTGTGCGTCAGTTGTGGCACCCTCCATCGTGATTATGTGGGTGTGTCAATCGATGCACATTTGTTCACCTGTACATTGGTCTAATCTGATTCTGCTGTATACAAGCAAATAACACACCATTCATCACCAGTACAGCTGGTCAAATGTGAAACTGCTGTATAAAACCAACTAGCACTTACAAATGGACATCTTAACATCAACCAGCAAAGTTTTTTTATGTAAATAAACGCAATCTCACCAATTCAACGATAATTCTTCATAGATTGGAAAAGAAAGAAAAAAAGGTGGGGGGACGTACTTCGCAGAGCCTAAACATGGGTGCCCCTCATTTGAAGTCAGAAACAGGAAAAATTGACTTATTTATTTAGCACCTAAAGAAGTCTAAGGGGCTAATGGCTTAGAGCTAAAGGCAAGCTTTGCGATGATGAAGGTTCGGAAGGGGGGAAAGTCTTAAGAGAGACATTAGAAAATGGTGACCAAATAACTATAGAAAGAGAAAAGGCTATGTTGTCATGGGTCCAATATCAAATTTAAAACAGAAAGTTGAATAGAGAAAAATGAAACGTGTAGTTTAAGAGTATAGTAGTTTATAACAAAGCTTACCTCGCTTTCCTCTACAGTAGACATAATTCAACAGATGCAAATGCCCCTCACAAAAATTCACAGTTGAAGTGATATGAAATGTAGGGTGGTAAGTAGGACTGACTCTATGTTTACCTGTTATCAGCGTTTGTGCTGACAGAATACTGATAAACGCTTTCTAGGAAAACGAAACTGGTGTTTTTATAGTAACGGGAAAATCTGCTATCGATCTAAATATGACGTAGTCGCCTTCGGGGAACTTCATGTTGTGCATGTTATGTTATAAATAGCGTCATCAGTTAGTGGACAAAGAAAGTGAAACCCTACACCACATATCAGGGACGAACTGCGTGATATTAAGGTATTAACTCAAAAGTTAGCGTAGCATTACATTATTTTCACAGTTTTGAACAAACAAAATTCTCTTTTAAATCGTAAGGGGAGCATAATTAAATCAATAAATCAGTTTTCTTTATTATATAAATATTTGAGAGAGAGGAGAGAGAGAGAGAGAGAGAGATAGAGAGGGAGAGAGATAAAAAAGAGAAAGAGAGAAAATGAGAGAGAGAGAGAGAAAAAAAAAGAAAAAGAGAAATGAAAAATGAGGAAGAGAAATAATTTGATATAAATTATTAATAGTTCTAAAGGTATTGTAAACTGCTGCGTCCTTCTCTTGGCGTCTGCTCGGATATCTTAATAACACTCGTATCTTTTAGTCAAGATAAATCAGACAAATATTACGTTCTTGGATTAATTATGTTCTTGGAATAATACATTGTTCAAAGGACTTGACTTGTTGTTCAATTGACTTGACGTGTCTTCCAATGGACTTGACGTCGCGTTAAGTTGACTTGACGTATCATCAAATTGACTTGACCTGTCGTTCCATTGACCTGACATGTCATCCAATTGACTTGACGTGTCGTTTAGTAGACTTTAGGTATTGCCTATTGACTTGACCTGTCGTCCAATTACCTTGACATGTCACCCAATTACCTTGACATGTCACCCAATTACCTTGACATGTCGCACAATTACCTTGACATGTCGCCCAATTACCTTGACATGTCACCCAATTACCTTGACATGTCGCCCAATTACCTTGACATGTCGCCCAATTACCTTGACATGTCACTCAATTACCTTGACATGTCACCCAATTACCTTGACATGTCGCCCAATTACCTTGACATGTCACCCAATTACCTTGACATGTCGCCCAATTACCTTGACATGTCACTCAATTACCTTGACATGTCACCCAATTACCTTGACATGTCGCCCAATTACCTTGACATGTCGCCCAATTACCTTGACATGTCGCCCAATTACCTTGACATGTCGCCCAATCACCTTGACATGTCGCCCAATTACCTTGACATGTCGCCCATTTACCTTGACATGTCGCCCAATTACCTTGACATGTCGCCCAATTACCTTGACATGTCACCCAATTACCTTGACATGTCACCCAATTACCTTGACATGTCGCCCAATTACCTTGACATGTCCCCCAATAACCTTGACATGTAGCCCAATTACCTTGACATGTCGTCCAATTGACTTAACATTTCGTCCAATGACTTGACATGTCATTCTATTGAATTGAGATGATAAAATAGATAACAAAACGTGAGATAGGCATATAATAAATATAACTTTAATGACCTGACAGTAATACATTGAAATGTCATAGAAACCCGAATGATGCTAAGACAGTTCATATAGTGTTGGTAGCAGAGCAACGTTTTTAACACAGTCAATGATCTGAACATACAACATTATAATAAAAAACATGCAACATTACAGTAAAGAACTTTCAACTTCACAATAATAAACGGTCAAATTTACAATAACGAACATATGGCTCTAAAGTAACAGATATACAACTTTACAATAACGAACTGTCATCTTTACAGTAACAAATTGTCAACTTTACAGTAACAAATTGTCAAACTTACACTAACAAACCAACAGTTCGACAGTAAGAAATATACAATAGTATAGTAATGAACATACATTACAGTAACAAAATATATAAAATTACAGTAACATTCTTACAACATTATAGTAACTTCTACACAATATTTGCAGTAATAAATATAATGTAATACAGTAACAAATATACAATAATGCCGTAATAAATATGCAACATTACAGTATAAATATATATAATATTACAGTAATAAATAAATAACATTACAATAATGAACATACCAGAAAGCAATCATATGTTAGAGATATCATTTGGAGAACCACATGACTCTGTTTGAGCATTCTCTCGTGGCGATATTGAACAAAGAGGTTGGTCCTGTGAGCTTCATCCTGAGTGTTGAAGAGAGTCCATACGTCGTAATTCATACGTCATAGTCGATACGTCATAGTTCATGCGTCATAGTCTATACGTCGTAGTCCATGCGAAACTGTCGTATTCCATATGTCATAGTCGATAGTTATAGTCCATTCGTAATAGTCCATACGTCACAGTCCATTCGTCATAGTTCATCCGTCATAGTCCAAACGTCGTAGTCCATGCGTCATAGTCGATACGTCATAGTCCATACGTCATAGTCAATATTTCTTAGTCCATACACGAACATAAAAATACAACCTTACCAATTCCTTCGTGTAATGACGGACAAGGGAAGTAATGATCTGACTTTATTGTTAAACATGTACAACATCTTAGTTGTATTTTATGTTGTAGTCATCCGTTAGATATCTGCCTGTTTCTGTTTGTCATATAGATCTGTGTGTGTCTGTTGTCATATATATCTGCGTATGTCTGTTGTAATAAATATCTGGGACGGTCTATTGTCATAGATATAGTATGCGTGTGTCTGCTGTCATAGATATAAGCGTATGTCTGCTGTCATAGATATAAGCGTGTGTCTGCTGTCATAGCTATAAGCGTGTGTCTGCTGTCATAGATATAAGCGTGTGTCTGCTGTCATAGCTATAAGCGTGTGTCTGCTGTCATAGATATAAGCGTGTGTCTGCTGTCATAGCTATAAGCGTGTGTCTGCTGTCATAGCTATAAGCGTGTGTCTGTTTCATAGATATATACGTGTGTCTGCTGTCATAGCTATAAACGTGTGTCTGTTTTCATAGATATCTACTTTTTTCTGTTGTCATAGATATATTATTATACTCGTGTCTGTTTTCATAGATATATACGTGTGTCTGTTGTCATATATATAAACGTGTGTCTGTTGTCATAGATATAAACGTGTGTCTGTTTTCATAGATATAAACGTATGACTTCGGTGAGGGACTGTGAGAATGAAACTAAGACTACACTAGGCGAGTTTAATAGTAAAATTATTTTACTAATACAAGCAAATTGCCTCATGATGTGTCAGTAAACAAAAACGAGGGGGAGGGGGGCATTGTTATAAAGATTACAAATTAGAGAAAAATAGTTAATATGGACAACGATTTAACAGTTGTCTTAAACAAAGGGTGAATATTTTAACCCATATGGTAAAAAGGATGAATATTTGAACGCATTTGCTTAACACGTCTGTAGATTTAAACAGTACATCTGAGTCAGTAATTTAGTGGATGTCCTGGAGAGAGTCCATATCACTCTGGAAGGGACGGAACATGCGGGGCTTGATATTGTTGTCTTCTCAGACTCAAGATCTGCTCTTGAGATCTTGGAGAAGAGGCAGGGTACCACAAGCTTGGTCGACGTCATTCACAACGACATATGCAGACTTGGTGAAATAGGGTGCAAGGTTGAAATGCAATGGATACCAGGGCACGTCAACATCAGTGGCAATGAGATAGCTGACACTCTGGCGAAAACCGGGGCTGCCCAGCCTCAGCCAGAAGTACCAATGACTTTCTTGGGAGTCAAAAACTGGCTGGCGGACCACTTCAGGCAGAAGTGGTACAGGCAATGGGCTGACAACACGACCGCCAGAGGCGTCTATTCGAACTTAAAAACTGGCTGGCGGACCACTTCAGGCAGAAGTGGTACAGGCAATGGGCTGACAACACGACCGCCAGAGGCGTCTATTCGAACTTGCCTACTCCTAGCAAACAAGACCCATGGTGGGGGTTAGGTCGTAGATTGCAGAGTCTAGTGACGCAGATGCGCACCGAGCACTGCCCCTTGCGCACATATTTCTGGAGGTTGGACAACAACAGAGATCCTACCTGCCGGCATTGCAGCCTGGCCCCAGAGACCTTAGAACATCTGTTGACTGAATGTCCCGCACTAGATCTCCCGGGGGAAGCCAGGGCGGTTGGAGGATACTTTGTGAGGGAAATGTTGTATGGCTCAGCTCAACAGATGGAGTTGATAACCAATTTACTAGCCGGGGTCATAAGAGAGTAATCTCAGACCTTCACCAGAATATGTGCGTTAGTTAGTGGATGTCCTTAAATTCTTTGGCCATTAAGATTTTGTTTAAAAAATACCCCAATAGACTCTCAAAATTTTTTTTTAAAAAATTAACGTTAATCTCGTCAGTTGTGTGACTTATGGATTGTTCAGCACTTAAGAAATTACACATAACCCTTAGATAGTGTGTTCATATGAACACATTGATATTGAGTTTTCAATAAGATAATTGTAAAAATTATCTTAGAACTAAATGGATGTTTTACAGCAAGACCATTTATAGAAAGAGTCCATTTACAACAAGAGTCCATTTACGGCAAGATTCCATTTACAGCAAGATTCCATTTACAGCAATAGCTCATTCACAGCAAGATTCCATTATTTACAACAAGAGTCCATTTACAGCAAGAGTCCATTTACAACAAGAGTCCATTTACGGCAAGATTCCATTTACAGCAAGATTCCATTTACAACAAGAGTCCATTCACAGCAAGAGTCCATTTACAGCAATAGCTCATTTACAGCAAGATTCCATTCAAAACAAGAGTCCATTTACAGCAAGACTCCATTGACAACAAGACTCCATTGACAACAAGACTCCATTTACAACAAGATTCCATTTACAGCAATAGCTCATTTACAGCAAATGAAAAGTAAATCACCATCTTGTGTTGCCTATAATAGTGCAATTGTAAAACTGCCATGAGAGGTCACGGGTTGATAACGCAATCCGTTTCTATGAAACACGTTCTGCATCCTACAAGATGTCACTGTATATGTTGTTGTTGTTGTTGTTCGTCCTTCAAATTTACAAGGACC